TCGTTTCTTGAGTAACAAACACAAAAGCTCACAAAAAACCCACTAATTCATGCCATACCACTTACCTGAAATAAAAGGAATTACAGAACAGACATAGCTAAGTCAGACCTGCTTTAACAACCACTGGTTAAGACTGAGAACCCATCCAAATAAAGCCTAGCAAGTTCTAGAGATGACAGGTATTTTGAAGTTAAAAACAGTTTGTTGAGTTTCTTCTGGCTGCAAACAATCCTTAAGACACCACTGTATAATTAAAGCTTTGAATTTATCTTTTCATATTTGAACACAACCATAAAACAAAAGCAGACTTTCCCCTGGCAACTCACTGAACTGCTGAGAAATCCTCTGTGCTTTGCACTTGTTACCAGAAGAAAAAAGTGGAGGAAAGATTCAGAAATAAATTCTGTCAGTCTTAAGCCTCTTGAATTCAACTAACAACCAACACTTTCACTATCCTCATTCTCTTAAGGCACTTCACAGTTTCATCAGCAGTGACAAGACTTTATGCCATTTGATCTTTTGACTAAAACACTCCTTCCTATTTTCATGCTATAGCAGTATTTTGAACTACAGGCTAAGGGTGTCAGCTGCCCACCTCACTCTCACTGCTTATCCCAGCCATGATGCACAAAAAACACATTCCAATGTCTTACATGCCCTTTTACCTGAAGAAACAGTATAAGGAATCATAAGAATTGCAGAAACAGAGAAGTGTGAGGTTTATTTTTTTATTCATTGTATGCCACGTAAGGGGTATGGTCCAAAACACTAAATCAGTCAGCCAAAGTCAGTTCTTCCCATTGTCTCCTGCAAAGCAGAGCAGGATTATTTGTTTCTAGAATCAAAATCATCAATAAGCCTTTTCTGAAGACAACTTAGCACAGCTTCCTTTTAACATATTTACTATTAAAAAACTGTAGTCAGTAATTTTCTTAACGTCATTTCTGAAAGACAGGTTTTCTTCCAAGTGCATCAGCACTTGCAAGAGCAAGGCCAAGGAACAAGGAAGATTTCCTAATAAATTTAGAACTTGGAAGTATTCAGGTATTCTACAGTAATTGGTTTTATTTCTCTGTAACACAGAAAGAAGATTTCCAGATAAACAATCACTCAAAACTACCTGTAGCTGCAACTCAGCTGTCCAAAATCTGTCCTTATCAAACTGATATCAAGTAGCCATTCAGTAATCAGGTGCCTGTCTCACCTCTGCCCCTAACAGGTATGAAGAAGGCAAGTTATTCCTTTAATAAGAATTAACCCTCTGGGGGATTAACTTGCATACAAAAAGCTTTAGCAGATACATCCCAGCAATCCCATTATGCAAGAGATTATTATAAGGCTGGTGTGTTTTAAAGTGCTTAATCAGCTGACCTGTCCCACTGACAGTAACACTGGCAGTCCATGGACAAACTCACATCCAGCTGTTTTGCCCCCAAAAATCAAGGATCAGACTACAAAACTGACAGCCAAGGGCTCTGCTATGGATGCTACTGAAGCAGGAACAAGCCAATCCTGGAGTAAGACAACAACACATGGCCAACATTGCAGATCTTGCCAATGGAGCCCGACTTACATCACTAATAAACCACTTGACTCTGTATTTCAAATAGCCACCAACTAGCCTCAGCTGCTTTCATGAACAAATCCACTGAAAAAACAGTGGTTCCTGAAAACAAAGTGTTCTTAGTAATTCATACATAGTAATTCATACCTGCTGAACACCCAGCATTGAAGTCTTTTATCCCCCACTCTTCATGTCTTAAAAAAATAACCGTTTACCAGTTCCCTGAACATAAACATCCCCTCTCTCTTTCTAAGGGAAATCATGGAAGTAAAAGAAAAAAAAAAGCTAGAAGGAATGCAGAAAGCAACCTAGTCTGGGGATCTCTCCCAGGCCAATCACATTACAGATGGAAAGAGCATTTTATTAAGGGTATATGAACAACTGGCAAAAAAGAAAAAAGACAACCTTTCTGCATTCACCTGCTGTCCTGGAAATTGGAAAGGCATGTTCCCCTGAGTTACCCCTCTCCCCCACAGATCATTACCAAAAGAGTGCAGCCTCTTCACCTGTGCCCTAAGGATTTCTCACAGCACTCACAAAAACGAGCACAGCTCTGTGAGCACTTCAGTAACAGTGAGTGGGAATACTGAAATTTTTCCACCACAACCTGGAGAGGGCAGGACGTACAGCAAGAATTTAGAAACTTGTATCAGCCTGTTTTAGGGAGACGTGCTCTGAATTCACCTGCAACTTTGCCACAGTCAGTGGTAAGCTTAAGAAAAATCTCATCCAAGAACTAGTCCTAAAACAAACCCTATTTAAGCAAGGAGAAATATTTACTATGGAAGGCTGAGCTTGCTTTGGCAGGTGAGAAGATTCACACCTTGCTAATTGCACACACCTGGATACAGAGGGACCCTTTATTTAAATACATTGTGAACAGACAGAGTAACAAGGCAAGATTACAAAGTTAATTTGAACACATTCATCACTATTTTCTCCATTCCTGTGCTCTGATACTGAGAATACAAAGCAATACAATGTAATACAAAGCAAAACCCCAGCTCACAGTCAGTGCTTGCATTCAGCAGCCCAGCAGGGAAGTCAGCAGGTCTCCTCAGGTCTCCAGGCAGCTCTGGCCATCAGACACAGAACACCTGAGCTTGGCCAGGGCAGATGTCCTGCAGGAACAGAAGGTGGAAGACAGTAAAAATCTCTCTCCTTGTGGCTGCTTTATTGCAAAGTATAGAATTTGTTACAGTCACCTTCTAACAGCCAGGTACACACAGAAGAGTCGAACCCCACTCTCAGGTGTTGAAGAAACATCACTGTAATAAACACAATCCTCTGCTCCCTTTTCTGAGGTGCACCTGTCACCTTACCCTCTATGTGTCACACCAGGAGGAACCAAAGGCAAAAAAATTCAATTTACAATCAGGACAGTGGGGGCAGATCACACAATCTCCAGCTTTTCTATTTTGAAAAGTGCTGGTGTCCTATAAAAGAGCTAACTTGAGAATTTTGAGACCAACCCAAATACTCTGCTTTAACCACCATTTCTAAGACCAAATCTCCTTCAAATTTGTAACCTCAGCTTCTATTTCAGGACATGCCAGATTTCTAAGAACAGGAAAAAAATTTCATCACTTTCCCTCAACTTCCTAAACTCTAAAGTTACAGTATTTGCCAGCAGGTGATATAGTTCTAGAAATGCTGAGATCTCATCCCTTCTAACAAGTATATAATGTAGGGGTGAGAGAAAACAAGAGATGATAAACCAGTATTTCACTAACATTTCACTATCTTCAAATAAATTGTGCCCCTGGATTATGGCCTGAATGAAAAAAAAAAAAACAGGCTATGAAAACAAATTCTTTGTTTTCAACAGATGACTGTGTTTGCATTCTTACAAAAATAAGAACTATCAGAATAACATACACGTGCTATAAAAGTGGTCTCTCTAGTAGGTCACACATGCAAGGCCGAGGGGTGGGAAAAACCCACACCTTTCCACTCAGGGGTGGGAAAAAACATTTCTTTTTTGTAGCATTGAGAAACGTTTTTAAACAATGTTTACTTCATCTTTATCTTATCCTTTCTCAATTTCCGTTCAAGCATATTTTCTAACACATGCATCCGTAGAGCAATACCAGCATACAATCGACAAATCAATAAATATACATAAGTGGGAGGTGCACGCTAAGAGGTGTTTCTACGATAGGCACGTGCAGCCAAAAAAGTTGGAGGCCACTCCTCCAGAAAGCAGCACTTTTTTTCTGAGAACAGGATTTTCCCTCTTTTCTACTGAGTAAAAAGCAGACAGACACCACTCAGTTATGAGCAAGTTACATCAATTTTTCTCACCCACAAGGTGATTTTGGGGGTCTTTTTCTTAGAGTACCTCCCACAGGCAGCTCCACGCCTCCTCCCAGCTGCCCTGGAAGGACAGCCCTGCCCAGCTGCCCTGGAAGGACAGCCCTGCCCAGCTCCCCGTAGCCCAGGGCAGGGAGGGCCGTACCAGCTTCACTCCGGCGCTGGTGTTCCAGAGGATCGCAATGAATGGCGCCTCGCAAGGCACGTGGCTCCGGCGTTTTCAACCCTGCGCTCGGGGCCTTTTTTTTTTTTTTTGCCACCTCAAGGATAAGAGACTTCAGTTCCTCAGGGGCAGGCAACAGAATGTAAAGACCTGGACAGAAGTATCAAAAAAACCACCACGCTATGATAAACGACCTGCTTGACAAGGGAACGTCAAGTGGACATGATGAAAGGATAAATAAATACGATTAAGGAGCCATCAAATATTACGGCTTTGCAGGAACCAAGGGAAGACATGTAAGGGAGAATACTGAAAGCCAAGGGGTCAGACCCTCACCCAGCTCTTCCCCCTCGCCCCCCCGAGCTCTGGCGGCTCCCACAGGCCCCCTCACCGGTGGCCCACAGCACCCACAGCCGCCCGCGCTCCGCGGGCGAGGAAAGGCGGCGGGCCCGGTCCTCGCCACTGACCTGCCGGCGGCGGCTCCCACGCAGGGCCGGGGCGGCCGCGTCCCCTCAGCCCGCGCAGCCGCCGCGCTCCCGCACGCGCAGGCCGCCTCACCGCCCCGCAACCCCGGCCGCTCGGATCCCTCCGCTCCCACCTCACACTAGTCCTCCATTCTCCTCAGGAGGAGCCTAACAGGAGAACGCCCGGCTGGGTCGGGAGCGCCCAAAGACCACCGCCCGCCATCGCCGTTCCCTCAGCGACCCAGTGCGGGGCCGAAGCGCAAACAACACACCGGGACTACTTCACGTCCGCGGACGAAAACACACTAGTTCCAAACGCGCAGAGGCCGACGGGACGCTTTTAAAGGGCCGCGCGGGGCACGCCGGGAGCTGTAGTCTTCCCCGCAGAACCGCCACGCCCCCTCACGGCCGCAGCCAATGGGCGGGCGGCGGGCGGGGCTCCCCCGCGGTGCGCGCGCGAGGGGCGGCGCCTGGAGTTGGTTGTTGCGCGGGCGCGGCGCTCGCAGCCCCGTCCCGGGAGCCGCGTCCTCGGCGGGGCCCGGCGGGAGCGGGACCGGGACCGGGACCCCGCACGGAGCCGCCCCGGGGCTGGGGAGCCCCTGCCAGGTGAGGGGTGGCGGGGGGGTGGCGGCCCCTCGCGCCGCCGGGGGAGGCCGGGGGGCGGCGGTGGGGGTCGGGTTCCCTCGGCGGGGCCCCGGCGGGATGCGGGGGGAGCCGCGGGCGCAGTCGCCGCCTGCCCGCCCGCCCCTTCGCGGGGGTCTCGCCGACCCCCTCGCCGCGGCCCCGCCGGTCGGAGCGGCGCCCGCAGAGCCCGCCTGGCGCCGGCACAGCCGCGCCGGGGCCCCCGCGGGGCCGCGCAGCGCCCTCGCCCCCGGCGGGGTTTGGGGCCCCGGCTGTCCACCCGCAGCCCCGGGCGCTCCCCGTGCCCGCTCCGCCATCCCCGCCCTGCCGGGGAGCGCCCGCCGCCGCCGGGCTGACACCTTCGAGGAATTCCCCGGGATGAAGCCGCTGTGGGTGCCGGGTGGATGCTGTCCCTGCCCGGGCTCTGCCCCTGCTCTGTTATTACCGAGAATTCCTGACTTGAAAGGCTTTGCGCGTTCCTGTGTACGTGTGTAGCCGCATTCCATCCTCCCTTCGGTGCTTCCCTTCCTCTCGAAGGTTATTTTGGACTTGCAGGTGGGTCGATCTGTTGGCCAGTTTTTACAGCGGGCGAAGTTGAAGCTAGACCGGGAAGGCTGGGATTTGCACTGGGACAGCGAGTGAAGCGATGTAAGCACTTTGCGATGGTCAGTTAGTTATGGAGCAGCTGATACCTGGCACAGAATGTCCAGGCTGCCCCTCCGTGAGCACAAGGAGGAGGAGGAGCGTTGTTTGGTGGATCTCTGACCTCGAATTTAATAGGGGTCCCTTCTTAGAGAACGTGATTTCTGTTTATTTTAGGTCTTTGCCGTTTCATTTTGTAGGGCTTGGCTTTCGTTCTTTAATTGCTTCTTAAGTGCCTCCAAAGTTTTTCCCCTTGCTCTTTGTGGCTTAATGGCTGTCTCATGTCTGCTAAAGTACTTTATTCTCGGATATTTAGAGAAAAAATAATACACGGAGATGTATGGGCAGGAAGGAAAGAACACGGAGTTGTTTTAGGAGCCAAGACTTTATGGAATTCCTGTGATTAGGTTCTATAGTTAGAGAGTTAAGTTGAACTTGTTTAAAATTGCTGGCTGAGTGAGTACCTTTATTGCAAACTAGATGTGCTTAATTCTGTGTGACTTTTGACTTACAGCCTCATCTAGACAGTTTGATTCCAGTGGTGTAGCAGAGCAGCAAATACTTTTGGAGATTTTCTTTGGTCGTTTTGACCAGTTAGAGCTCGTAATCTAGTTTCACAGTGGTTTAAAAGGTTTTGTCTGGAAAGTAGCTAAGATGATTTATCCAGATGAAGCATCTTCCTGGCAAAGTTACTGCTCTGTGTGTTTTCAGGCAAATCTCATTTTAGTCTCTAAAACGTAGAACTATGCAAGAAGTGAGTTACCAATTTTTCCATGAGTAACTTTCCATGATTAATCATCTGTGTTCACTTCTTGATGGCTTTACCTTCTTGTTAGGATATCTCATGTAGATAACTTAATTCACAGACCTCTTAAATGACGTTTTTTGGGCAGTTCTGTTTGCCTCAAGTGCCTCCCCTGAACAGTAGTGGCAGGTAGGGGGGGATTCCTGAGCTTGGGCAGGAGGCACCAGCTACAGAGCAAGGAGCCAGCAGACTTTCCTGCCTGGCCTTGCTGCTGGTAGGCACTTCTACCCAGCTGCAGTTGATAATGGATGCAATGTTTGCATTTCCTTCTATTTTAGAACAGGCATTAGCTATGTAAATAAATATACAGTTATTTTGAAGCAACAGCATTCCCTATGTATGGGTAAGAGTTATGGCTGCTTCTGTGAAAGAGAGAGCAAGGAGGCAAAGTACCATTTTAACTTCTTGGATAATTTGTGTTTCTGACTTTTCAGCTCCTTAGAAAATCCACTTGCAGGCATGTTTACCAAAATACATATTCTTTTCTGTTTACTCTGCAAGTGAAAGAATTGGTTGGAATCAGTCATTTAAAGAAAAGTAAAGGGCAGATGCTGTTTGGCTAAATGCCTCCTAAATATTGACTTCTTTTGCCTAAACAGGATAGTAAAATATAATGATAACTATTGTAAGTTATTGGTTAGGGTCACAGACATTTGGCAGTCACTGTTAACCTTCTGTATCACGCTAGGAAAAATATGTATGCGAAAAGCTTACTCTAAGTTAACAAGTTGTAACATGTTTTTCTCTACTTTGTTTCTGAATTTACACTCCTGTGTCTCTCCTTTCCTTTTCCCTTTTCCTGTTTAGTCTTTGCTCTTAAACTGCCCTTTTCCCTCCAGCTGCCCCTCATCCCAGTTTAGGATTGGCCCCTCCCATCCCTGCTGGTTGCCCAGGTTTCCTTTGCCCTTTTCTCTGTGGGGATCTGCAGCTTTACTCCTTGTCACTGCTCTTCTTGTTCTGGTTGCTTTCTGACGAGCTCGGGTTTCAGGTGGTGTTAATAGCCCTTTTTCTTTGCGTGTAAGGCAGTTGGACCTTCTCTTCCCCAGCCCCTGAAAACAGAGCCCCAGAGGTCCACTGTGGGATTGCCAGGTAGGGATCTGGGATGAGGGCTGTCTCCTGCCAGCTTCCACAGTGTTCCCACTTCCTGGGCTGCTGCAGCTCCCCAGGAATCCTGCCGAGCTGCTCCCTCCCGTGCAGTCGGTGTGTCAGAGCTGACATTCGGGTATGGGGAGAATATTGAAATGCAAATAACAGTGAGGAGATGGTGCCACGCTGGTGAACAGCACCGGGAAGGTGGTGGAGCGAGTACCTTGTGACCTGAAAAGAGCTCGCAGAGAAAGCACCTGACACGGGGAAGCTGAAATGAAAACTTTCTTATCTGTCTGCTATTAGTACCTCCAGATGTTTTTAACCTACTTAGAGTACAAAAATAATAATCTGTAAAACATGTTTGGGTTTATTAGCCGAAGGAAAGTGCAAAGAAATAATGTAAAGCTGTTTGGGAGCCATATGCAGCATTTACTGGCTGCTACTGGCAGCCAAAAATCACCAGTGAGGCAAAATCCACTCTCTGTGCCTGTAGAGTAGCATGGATTTTGGAGGAGGAGATGTGGGGCTCCAGTCCCAAGAGGAAAAAGCTGTGGGTTCTCCACGCTGATACCCAGAGGAGCTTGGTGCCAGGTTCTCTGAGTGCATTACCTGTGACAGGCTGGTGTGGGGACCTTGTACAGAGCCTTTATTGGCAGTACCAGTCCTCCCACCCTCCTGTGCTCCCACATGACTGCTGTGTAAGGACTGAGCGTTGCTCTGGGATTTACACTGGCCTGAGGCTGAAATGCCTTCATTGTTTCATATGTATCAGCACAATAATGTACCATTTCCATTACCATACAGTTTTAAATCTAGGGTGGAAAAATACAGGCTGCAAACTGGAATAAGACTTGCTAGTTGACTTTCACTGTTTCAAAGCAGGGTAAAGTGGAGCAAGTCAACAGTATACACTGAGGTGTAAGTGACAACTTTAGAATTTCTGCAGTCTTAGCAGCAAGGAGAAATGACTTGGTTTTACTTGGTAACAGTTCTAGTTAGTTGTCCAATATTTGAGCTCAAATTTCCATAAACTGTGGTTTAGTATTGCGGGCTCTGTATTTTCTTCTGTGTTTTCCAGATCATAAGCAGAAATTATCAACCATGTAAGAAGTTTTCAGGCTTCCTTTTTCCTAAGATAAGTGCCTGAGTCACTAGAGCAATTTCTTTCCCAATATCTCCTCAAGTGGACTGAGTTAACTTGAGATTGCCTGATAGTTGAAAATATGGATAGAGGAAAACTACTTGGTGGGTGTAACTCTGAGGTCACCTTCTGCAAATTGAATTTCTTTTGGGACCCCATCAGCTATTACAAAAGTTACCCTGTTAGCTCACCAAGTTACAAAATGGCTTTATACCACATATGTTTTTGGGGTTGTTCAGGTGATAACGATAACAGCAGAATTTCAGAACCCCTCAAAGCCTCATTCATCGTTTCTCTCCTCCCAGTAATCACATATTGCTGTGCAGGATGAGGATAAAATCAGTTTTAAACCACACCACTTGGAGAAGTATTTAGTAATCAATCTCTAATGGATTTTCTTTGTTAAGTCTTTGATTCTGGGGAAAATTGTCACCCTGACTAGTTTCCTTTCTGTGTGAGTACTTGGAAAAAGTCTCCAAATAGGTCCCTTAGGCTCACTGCCCATACCTGCTACGTATGGGCCTGCCCTTAACTGAGATGCTTTTGCACAAATTATAGTCACAGTAACGAGGATTACAATGATCTTTATTGAACATCTGCACTTTGATCACCAAATAGGTATGTTTATGTTTAAAAGATAGGCAAATATGATGTGTAAAAAGTATTTAAGAGCATTAGTTTGTTATCTGAATCTCAAAATGCCTTCAGAGTTCTTGCTTAGGAATATTTTTCTTGGTTGGCAGGTTTTAGAGCAGAGGATGGATAATTTCCCCATGAAATGCTCAACATGGAGGGGAATGAGTATTTCATCCCTTTAAAGTGCAAAAAAATTATAAATATTAACTGGGAAAGAAATTTTAAAATCTTCCCATTTGTAGACTTTATCTCACATTTTACTTGAGAGTAATATTTCGGTTAAAAAAACCCCTTACATGCACTGAAACATAAATGCTCAACTGTCTTAATACACTCACTGTTGACTGCAGGAGGTGTTTTTAGCAAAGTTTTTGAAATCACAGTAAACAAATGGATAAAAACCCTGCCAGGCAAAACATTGTAGGCTTCTAGCAACACTGGTTTTAGCAACATCTTGTCTGAGACACCAGTTCGGTGTGGTGCTAAAAAGTAAGATCACTGACTTGATAAAGTCAGTGCTATTTCAGAAAATACTGCTACTAGCACACAATTTGCCAAGTGCAACGTCCTGGGTGTTTTAGCAGATTTGGATTATTACATTGTTGGATAGAGGTTCTGTAGGAAGCTGTTCAGTGATACTGTTCGCCGTTTGACCTTTTGTGTTTTTGTAAA